GAACTTAATTTTATTGATTTTCTGTATTCTAGGCTTGGGTTATACGTTGTCAATGAATTCATTTCTCGTCACTATTTATTACAATATTGTTATTGTTTGATGTATAGTTTATTTTTTTGCATCATTTCGAAATAGAGTGATTACTGAGTGGAATACAAAGCTGCATGGCGATATGTGAGAGTACAATACGATCCTTTATCCGAGAGAATTATAATCAATGGCAGCTATCACTTTGTTTGTTATTTGCAAGGCTTCTCGTAGGAGTGTGTATAGTACAAGGAATTAAATCTTCGGGAAAGGTTTGTTTTGTTATATCTTTCATGATTTGTATTATCTTTTGTCTATTTCTATTTTCAGGTGGTGTATTTTACATCATTATTTCCATATGCAGTTATTTTTACATTAATTATACGCGGTGTCACACTACCGGGATCCCGCGAAGGTATCTTGTTTTATTTAAAGCCGAACTGGCAAAAAATCAAAGAATTTGAAGTAAGAAGAAAGAAAACCACAAGCAGGAACTGGATTAAAAAGTTCTAAAGCTTCTAGTGATAACTGCATTGTGTAGGGCTCGACAAAGAAAATCTCTCGGAGTTTTTTGCATGGATTTTGACTAGAGTAACTTACGGTTAATCCCACTTAGGAACTGTATGGTGGTTACAGTGTGTGACTGTTTCACAAGTGTAGGTATCTTACATCTATTTGTCAATATTTGTTGTACTCGATTATTAATTCTTTTTTAAAGGTATTTGCGGTTTTGCCGTATTTTCCATTCTCGGTTACATGTCGTTCAAAACTGGTTTACCCGTTTCTCAAGTGGCCACCGCTGGACCAGGACTGGCTTTTGTGGCGTACCCACAAGTTCTATCAATTATGCCGGCAGACCTTGTCTGGGCTGTTCTCTTTTTTCTTATGTTATTAACATTGGGTTTAGATTCACAAGTAAATTATCTATTCAATTCATATGTGAAGTATAATTTATATAGTTTATCTGATTTCAGTTTGCACCAGGGCTCCGCGTGGGATGGGATGGGACGGAAAAAATCGTCCTATGGGATGAACTTTCTCGAGTCATCCCATGGAATGGGATAGTTCTCAAAAATTTTTGGTCCTATGTGGGATGGGACTATCCTCAAAAAAATTTTGTCTCATGGGATGGGACTGTGTTTAAAATTTTTTCATTCCATCCCATGGGACAACTGTAATTTGTTTTTCGTCCCATGGGATGGGATGATCCTAAAATTTTCCATCCCATCCCAAGAGACTGCATACTCGCGAAATAACGTTTAAAAAAAGTACAATTTCTTACTACATCACTCAGTTTGACTAATACTACCAAATCTCATATCATTACATCTTGTATTTTATAATTTATTCATAATGAAATTCATAATTCTTTTCTGCAGCTGCATAATAGGAAAATATATATCACTCTCTCTATGAATACAAAATAGTAACATGAAGAAAAACCAAACTAATAAATGCGAATTTTAGTTCAAGTCCAGAGCGACAAGAAAAATAGATATATAAAAAAAAGTTCTTATTGTAAATCATTGAGCACGCTTCTCAGTTGTTTCAATCGACTACGCTACAGACATTTGTATTGAAACTTTTATAAAGTTTTAAATGAAAGAAAAAAGAGTTTCTGTAAAATATTGTTATCCCATGGGATGGGATGGAATGGAAAACTTTTTGATCCCATGGAATGGGATACTTTTTTAAAAATTTTCCATCCCATCCCATGAGACGAAACTTTTTTAAAAAACGTCCCATGGGACTGATGGGATTATCCCATCCCACGAGGAGCCCTGGTTTGCACTCTCTGACGTTACCATCTCAGCATTTTTGGAAACATTTTCAAAACTGAGACGCAGGAAAGTGGCTGTGATATTTGGATATTGTGTTCTGTGTTATTTATTGGCATTACCAATGTGCGCACCAGTGCGTGATTAATTTAATAATTTTTAACTGCACTCTATTTCCACTTTTCTGGTCAATCTTACTAATGGTATCATTTTGTAATATTACTAATAACTACAGTTACTAGCGTGTAATTCGCTAATTTCATAACTTTTGCTAAAATTAAGCCATCAGTAACTTAGAAAAGCGACGAATTTGAACACACTGTTTTCTTTTTTCAGGGAGGTATCTATTTATTAGTAAGTAATTCTCGAAGTAAAAAACCTGATTAAAATTCTTTTGTCGTCGTTTCACTTTTTAAGACATTAATGAATGAATTCTCAGCAAAATCGGTGCTTGTATGTGGGTTTTTTGAGTTTGTTGTCATCACTTATATTTACGGTATTTGCATTGATTCCTCTGTATATGCATTATTACAACAATGTAGTTTTGCCATGTTAAACAAACGACTATTAGAGCCTTATTGGTTCTTTACTTGGACTATTTCTTGTCCCATAATTACTCTGGTAAGATGACCTAATCATGTTTTTATATTACTATTTTTAATTACAATATAATTTCAGATTGTTTTTTTCTTTTCCATAATACAATTTAAAGCGCCCAGAGAAAACTCGTACAAGTATCTTACGTCGTGGATTGTCGTAGGATAGCTTATGACAATTTCTTCGATAATATTTATTCCAACACTGTTGATATATGAATTGATCAAAGCCTGGAAACAAACGTCTGAACCAGTGAGTTTAGCAGTGTATTGCACGATAGACCGTACCGCATTTGATCAATCGATGAACTTTTCACTTAGACTCTCATAGTAGGTTGTGAAAACTTGTTTTTCAAGAATGATATTAGTAAAACGGTTGGTTTTCAGAGGGTTATTGATTTCCAAAAAAAAATTGTGTTAAAACTTTGTTTTCGGTTTCTCTCATTTTGCTGTTGTGGGTCTGTGCACATGCGATAATCGAACCCATACATGCTTTTCATTAGAGATTGTACTCGGCCTGTACTACTTATGCTACAAATACCAGCTCTTAATCTATTGCCTAGACCAAGATATAAACAAAGAAAATAGCACTACAGTTTTGTTTTGTACAGTTGACACTTCAGACTGTTGATAGAACTTTTATGAAAATCAAACTTCCACATCTTTGAAAGGAATCGTCGTCTGATCAAAAAGTGATGCCATTCTTCCTAGGGATATTATGCGATGAATTATGAAAGTTTGGGTGAAAAACTCAAAAATCAATCGTTCTTTCTGTACAATAGCTCCTCTAAAGTGTTTGATAATGATCGTCTCTATTCGTTCATTTTAGATTGAAAATGAACCCCATTATATACGTATGTTAAAATATGCACGAATGCCCACTACACATTGGGGGCCTTCTAGAAATAAAAATAGAATTGGCCGCTATTATTCTGACAATTATCAGAAATCTTTAACGTTGAACGAAAAAATAAAATATCTAGAAGAAGCGACTGGCGAAACAAATTTTGTATTTACACGTTTATGGTTTAAAAATCATCGTTTAATCAAGTGAAGATGTTAATTTCTTCTGCCATATTTTTTACATGTTAAGTGACTACTCGCTCTTTGAATAAGACTGATTTAGTATCTAAACTCACAACGTGAGTGTCGTAAAATCGTGAAGTTTCACGTACTAAAATTATACGCTATTCATACATTAGAAAATCTCGCTAAAAAACATATGGACATTCTGGTCGAAATTTAAAAATGACACTTAAATTTAATAATGCATCGATAAACGATGAAATAAATTAAGAAAAAATTGATGTGGATACTGTAAACACTTGACAATAATCTTTTAAACCAATTATTCAATATCTACAAAAAGATTCGTGAAAAATCAATAGATGAATTTTTACTAAGATTTTCCAATAAAAAATAATAAATATTCAAAACTCTGCATGTACATATAACACATCTAATCAGTTTACAAAAGAAAAAAGTGATGATAAAATCGTTAATATCATTTTCCATCTCGTGTACTCTATCCTCATTATCATTACGTATTTTTCTACACGTAAATTGCACAATATGCCGTACACTTTCAGAAAACCATACAATAATATGCATTTTTGTACTTGACTAACCTTAAACTTAATTCCTAATTATGTTTCAGACGATTATGCTATAATATTTGTATCGGTTTTGTTATATCATTAAATAGTTATACACATGTTACAAATCATAATTCTTCCCTATCAACCAAGATATGATTTACATAATAAACATCACTGTATTATTGAATTAAATTTATTGCTCACATGCACTAAAAATAGCATGATGTTTTAGGATAAATGTCTGATTTTTTTTCTTCTAATATAAACTTCGAAAAAGATAAGTAAGGCCAAACTTGACTCGACTATACTATTTAAAAAATGCACGACAAAAGACCATCAACATGCTAAAATTTAAACTACGTTAACCATGATGTTTGATTATTGCTCTTTCCTCTACTGATTCTTCTAGTTTTCTCATGCTCAAAACTGCATAAATTCTGTTTCTTACTGGTCTTCTTCCAATCTCATGTCTTTAAACGTTTCTAAATGTTCTTGGCTTTCTTTCTCTTCTCAACCTCTTTCCGTATGTTTATAATCAATTGTATCACAATGGTGCTCCTTTCTCTGTTGTGTCTTCCGTTCGTTGTCTTGGTGCCCTTGTTTCGCACGGTCTTAGGTGGAATAATCATGCCAAGGACATTGCTCTTGCTTATCGGCGCAAGCCTGGAGCATTGAATCATGTCTTTGGATTAGTTTTTAGTTTTAACTGAAGTTCGGCGTCGAATCTATCTTTCTTCTATCCTTCCTAAAATCGACTATTGCTGTGTCTTGTACGACAGCTCGTTTTCTCTTACTGTTCTTGATTCTGTAAACAAACTTGCTTCTCGTGTTATTTCTCGCAATTTTGACTACCGTTCTTCTAGTTCTCTACTTGTGTCTCAACTTTCTCTTCCAAATCTCTCTCTTCGTCCTAAATTTTACAGTTTTTCAAAATTTATTATCGTCTAAGTCCTGTTTCTCGTTTTTATACTATTCATCTACTCAACTTTATCTATCGCTCTAAATATGTTCGCATTCCATCTCCTGTTGATGGTTTTTCTCCGCAAACGGTACATTCTTCTTTTTTTATTCTAATCTCTGTTGTCAATAATAATTCTCAATAATAATTTTATTCAACTATTGCCGATTGAAATCATCTCCCACAGTCAGTTATTCGTCTTTCTTCTTTAATGTCTTTCAAAACAGCTTTACTTCAATATCTCTTCCAGTGAAATGTTTGGCAGTTTATATTGAAAGAATTTATATTTGTTCTTTTTTGCTTATGTTTTTAAAAATTTTATTTACTACTTCTGGTTCTAACATCAGTTGTTTTCTTTATTTGTTCTTTTTTATTATTCTTTTGGTATTGTTTGGCTTGAGTCATTGTTATTACAGGTCGGTGACCTTTGATAACTATTACTTTTCATGAATAAAACAGTCTTAGTCTTATGTTATGGTAAACGTGTGATAGTGCTACATCTGTGATATTGTTTTGTAATGATAGCAGAGTTTCATGAGCTCTCTCCATCGGTTCGAAATTTGTGACAAAAATTTTTAACTATAACAGAACTACGGTTTTGCCATTACTGGATCACATCTCTCTTTATAAAACAGAAAATACACCATACCAGAAAAGAAGCTAATTTTCAAACAACACGCGTTCAAAATCATATACTTTCTCCACATAATAGTCAAGAGAGCAGGATTGACACCTTTTCAGTATATTACTCAATCGTTCGAAATGATGACTGATAATACTAATATAAAAGAAAGCATTGGTCACATACATACATCTATTATATTATATGATAAATACTCGCACTTATCTTGATCTAACGGCCATTCATTCTTCTTTTTTTTTCAGTTTCATCTATTACAGATCGAGAATGGATAAATAATTTTACCAATAGGAGAAGAGCTTCGGAGATGCTGCTGCTTATCTTCAGCATACGTAGAAAATTAATTCTAGATGTATTAACAAACATCAATATTTCTTTTACGAATCCTTGTCTAGTTTATTTTTTAAATTATCAGTTTTTATTTTTTTCTGTCTTATTTGATTTATGATTGGTGACTCAGAAAAAGGAAGACATACATATTCATGCATATCGACACACTCTCTCTTTTTCTCTTTTGTTTGTTGCCTGCGTGCAGAACAAAGCAGAATTAAAACAGCTGACTAAAAACTATCGGATTACCTATAAATACAGCAAAGACTGTAGCAATTCTTGTTTTAATTTGTCTTCGTTGACGGTAAGAATAAGTATATCTTGTGTCTGTTGACGATATTTAGAAATTATTTGTTTACTTCGCGACAAAAATTTTGATATATCATCAGTTCAAGAGTCTTGTCTAAGCAAAGAACTATTTGTTATTACAAGGCATATAATTACTAAAATTCTAAAAATATTCTAAGCTCATCTCAAGAGATTGGATCGTGCGAATTGAAGCAATGACGTTTTTCGTAACAAAGTCATTCTTTCAGATAGTGACATCAAACTTTAGTATGCGCACGACTTATTTCGACCCACATACTAATTTTTTAGCTTTTTTTACAGCGTAAAGAAGGCTTAGTTCTATTCTATGTTTGTGCAGAGTACCTTTGATTTGCAGTGAATATTTAACTTTGTTCGAATACGATGTTCCAGAATCTTCCTTGGGCACAGAGTCTTCTCGTCTGTCACTTATTAGGAAAAGATTGATTATTCGAATTTTTCTAAGAAAAAGATAGTTAATTTTTAAAAATTGTAACTCCGAACGATTTTACATTCAATGTTTTCATTAATTTTAGGTAGATATACTTCCATTTTTATTGCTCAAAAAAAATATCATTGAACAATGTTAGCTGTCGTCTCGTTAAAACGATCATTAGATTTTGATCCCATAGAACAGGGTCAAAAACGTAAACGATGTGAAAAATTTGGTTCGTCCTCACCGCCGTTAATGACAACTTCAACATCATTTTCATTTAATACAATGACCAGCTCAAATAATTCGAATGAATTCAATGGTGCTAAAATGTTGACAAATACTTCACAACAAAATGTTGTTTCGAAACTATTTCCATCTTCAAGTTCTCCATCCTCATCCATTGCTCAACACAAACAACAATCAAAGAAAACCCATAAAAATATGTTTAATTCTTGTTCGCTTTCATCAACAACTCCATTTTCAACAGATATCACGCAAACAAACGATCTTCCAATATTCACGATAAGTCAAACAGCAACTATGATATCACGAATGTTAAATGATAATGAAAAATTATTGAAAGAACAGTATGAAAAATTATTAAACATCAAATTAAACGGTAAGATAGTTGATAGAAACTATAAGCGAGCGCTATTATTTTATGTCGCAAGATACTGACTGTCATAAAAACTTTATCTCGTATACATCTGATGTAAACGAAATAGTTCGTTGATTTAATAGTCAATGTGTTTCTTTTTCTTTTCAGAGCAATATGATCAATTTGTTCGTTTTACTCATAATGAAATTGATAAACAAAGTCATAATCCGTTTCAACAACAACAACAACAACAACAGCAGCAAGCATTTTCCTATGTATCATAAAAGCAATTCGAAAACAAACTAAGCTAGAAAATAAGAAAAAGTTATGTGATGCTCTTTTTTCTTTGTTCTTTTGTTTCTGTTAATTTATTATTTTCGTTTTTTTTCTCGTTTACCAAGATACTTCCAATTTCTTTATTCGAAACTCGGGTTTTCTCCGCTTTTTTTAATCACTTGTGTAACTATCTTCGATTATTGTGAACTGTTTTTGTTTTGATTTTTTCAATGTGGTCATGTAACTGAAACAGGAAAAGTCCAAAAATCAAGAACATTATTAAGCCCATCGAATAAATCTGACAAACAGCCGTATCGTACAAAAAAATAAGTATTCAGTTTTGTGTGCCAACAAGACTTGCATCAGGGAATTTAAAAAGATTTTGAAAGACAGTTTAAAAAATCAAGATTTCTTTAGTCTTCCATCTAGTATTTTAGAAAAGTTATTTTGATTTTATCCGACTTTCTAGGTATGCTATAAAATGTGTTACTCTTTTATTAAAAAAATGCATCTTGATTATGAATTAGTTTATTTCGAATCGAGCTCATTAATCAAAACAAAATCATACCAAGAATGCCGATTGTATCAAGAAATATTGATAGCTCGCTTTTGTCAAATGCAGCAACTGAGAATTGTTAAAAGAATTATCCGTATCTTTTCATGAGAAGAAATACAGTTTATCTTGTAAAACAGCTCAAAATTGTTCCAGTTTCAAAATCATCCATCAGACCATTTTGAACATCTGATCTCCAGTTAACGTTTTGACTGAGATGACAAACTTATAGCCCAAGCCAAAAGAGTGATTATTGACTAAGAATTTAAGTGAAAACTCAATCATCTGGTTGGAACACAACATAGGAGAGAAGGAAAACAATAAAAGCAGGCATTTATCACATATGATGCCAAACAGAAAACATATGCGAAAAGAGATATCGTCTCTTTTTGTTAGGTTCTTAATAAAACACATTGACATGAAAGTCAGTTATGCTTTTGAATCTAGTTTCATTAATTGAATAAGCAGTGTTTAGAACACTAACTGAGCCATTGGATCTACACGAGTGTTTCGTTCCATTCCAAAACTTTAAAAAAAATGTCCACTTCGGTTTCTATCTCTGACAAGAAGATTCTGGCATTTCTCAAAATTTTAAGGAAAAGATTCTTTTCGAGAAAATTGTGTTTTTCTAGCATGTCTTTACTGACAGACGATTTTTCTTTTACACTGACCGGTCTGAAAAGTTGACTCAGTTTTGCACTTTTATTAGGGCTGAGTCAAAGTTGAATTCAGCTTGGAAAAAGTGAAAATTATTTTTCATAAAAAATATTTTCTTCTCGTTTACTTTTCACTAATTCAGACCTGAATGTCCTTATCAACACTCTCAAGATTGATTCAGGTAACCATACAATGCTGTGGACTTAGGAAGTGTGTATGTTATAGCAATAGTTATTTCTTCTTACTCATAACAATACTGTACTCAAATATTCGTAATAAAAGTTACCTATTATGGTATTATTATAATTTTCTCAGTTTAGAGATTTTTACTATTTACAGGAAGCTTTTCCCTTTTATGATTCAGACCTAGAAAATCTAACTGAAATCGATTCTGAAATATCTAAAGTTGCCACTTTCAGAAAATTCAACTCTGATTCCATCACCAGAATCAGAGCTAAATGAATTACCATTTGTATCTCTGTATAGATGTTCTGAATCAGAACATCTATTTTACTAAGGTCTGATCTAGCCCTGATAAACTGGATAGCAGATTTAGTTTTTCACACTAAGCCGATTGTCGACTAGTGCTGTTTATCCGTTCGGAAAAACAGATAAGAGTACAGCACCTCTATCACTAGTGCATTAGTAAAGAATCCGACTTTTCAACATTTTGTTATCGTATTTCTTTGTTTCGTTTAAGCAGTTAAAGCAACTCGAAACATGAACACCGATCGTGGTACTGTAAGAGGTAAATTAAGATATACTATTTAACGGGTGGTCCAGATTAAATTACCGATCTTTCAAACCTAAGCTTAACTTTTTTTCTTCAGTTAAGCTTGATAAAAAAGTTTCGTTTTAATGCCGAAATATAGAGAATTTTGTCTAAATTTCATTCATATCCCGTTTTAAAATTAATCATGCATCGTTCTTTTGTGACAGTAAAGATACTGAAAGCTCCGAGAATTTCAAATGCGCACCACTTAGCATGAAAAGAAATACGTTTTATCTTCTAAAGAAGTTTTGTACGCGCCATTCAAACACAGTGCGTAAAACTGCAATAAATACTTCATTTTTTAGGCACAAAATCAGATTTTTGGAGAAACGTTTAGGGCCGTAATAACGCGTTACAACAATTACCTCATTATTTGTGTTTGACACCATTCGCTCTAAAGGAAGATATCTAAACTCTGTCATCTATTACCAAAAATGGTGAAATCTATAGAGAAACACTCTTTGCAGAGTTTGAATTTCTGTATTTTTCGATGTTAAAACGATAATTTTTATAGATCAAGGTTTTGAGAAAAACTTGAAAATAACTTACCACTCTATTGAACGAATATATCTTTTTGATGTTTTGCATTTTACAAAACAGAAACAAATAAATATAGGAAAGAACATACAACTAGATACAACGAGAATTTCTGCGTCTTTTCTAACTAAAACTAAGTTTTGAAATTGGACTTAACTAGACAAAAACTAATTTTCAAAAGTTTCTGATTACGCACTTGAACAACTAAGCGTTTTTGTAGCTTTTTTTTCAACCTTTTTTTCAGTATCTTTACTGTTACAAAAGAACGATGCATGATTAATTTTAAAACAGGATATGAATGAAATCTAGAAAAAATTCTCTATATTTTGGTATCAAGACGAAATTTTTTCATCAAGCTTAACTGAAGAAAAAAAAAGTGTTCGAAAGACCGGTTATTTAATCTGGATCACCCCACCCGTTACTTGCCAACCATTTGTTGAGCATGTAAACTATTTGTTTGATATAGCCGCCTGCAATTTGGCAGACTTTTCCTAATCTTTAGCTTTGCTGTAGATGAGAAGTTGATCACTTTGCTTTTAGTTGTCTTATATTTATTTTTTTTCAAACGTCGTTTAGTTTTTCTGGTTTTTTCAAGTTAGAAGAGAAGAGCAAAATAGAGGAAAGATGGAAACAAGTAAACAAATAAGTAGAGACGTAATAAAATGAAAACATACCATCTATAGATAATAGACAAACCAGACATATGTGGATAAAAAAACAACAAACAAAGAAACACAGTGAGAAATAGTCGAATATTGAATAGATGTACAGATAAATATAGGGGGTCTCACAACACTCTCGAAACAATAAAACATTTGAGGATGAGGACAAAAATTAATCAAAACAAAGTGAAGATTTCATCAGTCAAATCGATATCTTTTTGATTTGAGATGATAAAGACTTGCTTCTTTTGTTGTTTTTATATCTTATTTTCCTTTTCTCTTTTTTAATCAACACATGAGGGATGACATTATACAGAAAAAAAATGACAACATTGGTTACCAGAAAAAGTACACGACAACAAAAAAGAAGAAAAATTCACCGGATATTAAGATAAATGAAAAAACAACGAGAATAGACGGAAAGTAAAGAGAAACAACTATACATATGTGATGACGGTAAAAAGCCGCCGTATTGTGGACAAGCGCGCGAGTAAAATTGATAAAAAAAACACGCTCATACAGATAAACCACAAAGACTCATGTAACTTCAGTTATCATCGACGACGAATCAATGGGCGATAATTTAACTGATGGAGCAACAAAACTATAACAAAAACAATTTGATTATAGAGTCATGATCAGTTTATATTGAGTTACATACCTTGTGATGGAACCATTGTAACCATTTGTTGTTTTATGTTGAAAGAGTGTGAATGGAGTGGGTAACAATACATTTTTCGTTTCATTCACAGCAGATGGAATGACTACATTACGATGATTTGCTGTTGAGTTGAACAATGAAGATTTTGATGATGATGTGTTAGTTGTAGGATTATTGTACTGATTATTTATCAAACCGGGTGCAGGAACACGAAGTAAAAAATGTGATGATGTTGTAATGGATGGAGAAATTGTGTGAGATAAAGAAGAATCTGCCTGTGAAATTGAACATGCGGAAGATGTTAAATTTGGTTGCACTAAGATAAAAGAATGCAACGTTAGTAATTAGTTTTTAGTCATAGTTCTTTGTAGAAAAAATATTCAGTCCAACCATCGTAATGCTCTCGCATTTGTTCACTTTGAGAAAAAACTATCATTTGGAAAAACCAATGTTTCTTGTGGTAATGAAATGAGGGTTTAAATCCAGCAAGACAACTGGAACGTTTTGCTAAGTGTTCTCCTAGTAGGATAACTACCTATTGCTAATTTATTTGATAATGCTGCAGTTAGCATTTGATTGGGAAAGTTGTTATTGTTCGAAGACGATGTAGTATTTTGTAGTTGCTGTTGTTGTACTGGAGTATACATCGCGGACGATAATGATGAAATATTTTCAGACGTAATCGTAGACGACGTAGATGAAAATATTCGTGTATTTTTATTAGTTGACAGTTCACCTTTAAACCCTGAGTGTGATGACAGTGATGGATTACTGCCGAATGCTAATAAAGTTGATAATTTTGAATTCGTTATATTTGTATTTGACGAATCAGTTGGTGTGTCGTTCGAACGATTTAGTGTAGGAGGAGTCGTTGGATAACTGTACGTATTTGGTGTTACAGGAGGTAAAATAAACGATTTAGAACGATCACTTTCATGATCAGTAGGAGGCGGAGTTGGAGGTGTATCGATAGATAAAGCCAATGGAGAAAGCGTAGTTGTAGAAGAAAAATGAGTTGACGATGACGCAGACGTTGAACTTAATGTTTTTAATGCTTGTATAACACGCTTCGACGTACAGGAATATGGATGATCAAGTTCGATAAATGATTTCTTTCGCTCTTCGTCTAACAATGACTCATTTGAAGAAAGCGATGGATAAAAGATTTCTGTAGTTGAAATAGAGGGATCAATTACAGAATAAGTGGAATCATTGGTTTCAGAATAGAGCGATGTCAATGTATCATTAACAACTCGTATAATTGTACGCGATTTGTTCGTTAAGTGTTTTCGAGATAAATCCAAATCATGATCGTTAACTGTCAAATGACTGTGTAATTTATAGTCGTTCGCTAAATCTGGTTTCGCTGACATACGCCAAAGTATAGGCCTAAGAAGAGATACAATATTGAAACATATTAGCAGATAATTAAATACAAACATACTTTTCAGCGAAATGTTGTTTTGTCTCAGGTATCGATTTACTAGATTCTTTTGGTAAACGACGATCGTACAATAATCTACAATGTGCAGAAAAGTAAAAGTAAATAATACAATGTAATAAAACAACTTTTACCTTCCACCTCGGCCAATTCTAACCCGAGAACGGCCAATTTGTCCTTGAGTGGAACAACATATATTATAATATGAACTTTTTTTATCATTTGTCGTTCGATACTTGAGACGTGTATATAACTGTTCGGTTGAAAGTGACTAAAAAAACAAATAAACGTCAAATGACAAATAATCAGAAACAGCAACAAACTGTTTCATTAACACTGCACAAAAAAGAATTTTCGACATTATTTCTATTGCTGACCACTTTCTACATGCAACCGTTCATGTTGATGAACATTGAAAAATTGAATATTTTTCTCTCCGATATTTTACTGTGAGTAAAAGGTTAATTCAAAAGCGTTTTATATCAAAAGGTGTAACATTATTACCGCAAATTACTTACTTTTAAATATCTGCATCCAGCCTTTGGACGAAACTGCCATGGATTCGATGTATCGACACTATTATTATTTTCATTACTGACCGTTGGAGTTAATGCATTTGTCAATGCAGGCAGATTCGCTAGATTTTGAAACCGTCCGTTGTGGTCAGAAAATAACGTTCTTCTGATGGCACTATCGAATAATGATGTTATTTCATTTTTAGTCATCGTTGGTGTTTTTGGAGATGAATCATTTGAATAAATGTTCGACTGACCAATATCCTGTATGATAGAATTAAAGACGTTTTCGTTCTTTTTATTAAATATGCAATTCCATATCGCTTTATCTACCTCATTTGGTCTTGCATTGTATGTTGCTGCCAGCAATATGGATGATAAAGATGAAGGTTTTAGAGAAGACAGATAACCGCCAGCGGTATTATCTGTCTGTGTGATATTATTATCATTTGAAAATGGTGTTAGTAAAAACGGAGATTGTAAATGAGTTCTATTTTTTTTATTTAAGAGATTGTTCGCAGTACCAAAAGTATTTTGGCATTGTTGTTGTTTTTGTCTTCGTTTTGCTGTTTGTTGTTTAGATGAAATAACAACAGCAGCAGTAGCCGTATTTGCACTCGGAGATAAACGTTCTAATAATAATGAATTTGCTGTGACAGAATTTTGTGCAGGAATTGGTGGAAGTGAAACTAATTTTCCTGACTAAAAAACAAAAGGATAAATATATTTAACGTCAAAAAACATTTGAAGAAAATAAAGTGGCTTACATTGTTGATATTCATTCTTGCGTACACCCTTTTACTATATGAGGAAGCCGATGATGGTTTAGATAAATTTGATGAATTTTGTTGTTGTTGTTGTTGCATTGTTGCCGAAGATATTAAATGTTTCATTGTAGCTGATGCTGACATTAATGAAGATTGTGATACTTTCATACGTTTCACTTTTGGTTCGAGTGCATCATCATTATTTATCTCGTTTGATGATGTTTGTGTTTGATAGAGAAGCGAATTGGTTGAAGGTGGTGGTGTTGATAAAAGCGTAGCTAACGTTGAAGAGTTTTTATTTAAGCTAGATATAGTTAGTACGTTATTATTATTATTATTATTAAAAATACTGTTCAAGTTTGATTTTGTTAACGATTTAATTATATCTATATGACCATTATTTAGCATATAGTCGTCGGATTCTGATGATTCACAGCTAAAATTTCAAGAAAAATCAGTAGAAAAATAAATTTATTTAATATTATTATTGGTGTTTGTCTCATACCGTGTTTGAAATATCTGCAATGAACATTCTAATAATTGTTGTTTAATGGATTCACGAACTTTGATCATATTCGTTAGTTTTCTAGATAAGATACATACATACAAACATATTATTGAATAATACTTTGTATCTTATACTTACACAATAGCTTGAAAACTTGAACGTAGTTTAAGCATAGACATGTATGCTTGCTCATCATTCTTACGATTCTAAAATGAAGTGAAACATTTGTACATCTAGCTCCATTACAGATAAGGCAAAATCTATTTCAATAATTAATCGAACTAGTCTGCAGTCTATAACTTTTTCTACCAACAATCCCCATATCACATCTATCAAACTTACATACCACCTAAGAGAGATAATACGACATAAAACTAAAGTCATTTACATACCTTTCTAGTTGTCATTTTTTCAATACGACGTCGAAACGCTACATATGGATGATGTTTTCCTTTTTCTTCTTTGATATCACGTTCAGTTAATAGTCTCGGTTTTAATCGTTTACCCTGATAAATTAGAATAAAAAAACGAATAGTAAATATTGTGTTCTTATTTTTTAATAAAAATTTGTGTACCGTTGTATTTCTTCTTTCCAACCAAAATTCGTAAACATTTTTCAACAAATCTTCATCTTCTTTGATTAATGTTTTCGCATCTTCATATGATAATACTGTTCTTCCACTAGAGTTTTCTAATTTATCAATGATTTCTTCATATTGTAAATGTGTTAAACCCAAACAGTTGTTCCATTTTTCAAACCATTCCGTATCATTTGTATCCATATCATACTCAGGATAATCCGATTCAAATTGTAAAGCTAAAACAAATAAAATTCAAACATATAATTTACAACACATTAAACAAAAGGAATCGACAAAAATCAAACAAAATACTTACGCTGTATTCGTATGAGTTGTTTAGGTAATTGTACAATAGGAGGATAAATGGATGCACTATTTGGATCTTCATATAAGTCTGGTGTTGGAACAGCACGAATTTTCGCTGATCCCAAACGTTGTTGTGCATCGAGAGCATTCTGTAAATGATATTCCTTTAAAAAGACAAAATGAAGAAAATTAGTTCAATCATTTTTCAGATATGTTCAATGTATGTTCAACATAGTATATCTTTTGGCATAATAAAAATATCAAATATATATCAAAAATTCGTTTTAATAATCGTGAATTCACTTCGAAACTTTATCCTTATGTTCTCTAAAACTTAAACCTCTAAGCAAGTTTTAAGATAAGTTTTGCAGTAAAGCTAATCACAGATTTTTTCCGATATTCCAAAACGATGATACTATCTAATTATTTTTTTTTTTATCCTGGAATTGTATATATTTCACATATGAGAAATCATGCAGAATATCAAAATTACGAAATTACTTTACTACGTAAATTAAGTTTTTTCTCTATTGTTTTTCGTTCTATTATTAGTCATTTCGTAAATATAAACTTTGTTCTTTTCTTTCGACGCCTGATTGTGAGGGCATTGAGCAACATTTATTTTCCATTGATTCAGTATTGAATACAGATTGATTGTATTTAACGAAGACAAGAATCTCAGTAAAGAAAGAACTGAATATTTCATTCGAGAACAAAATCGCCTTATTTCTCGTTGAAAAAAAAATAAAAATCTATTTTTTCCCATTTGTTGTGAAATATGTGTGTATGCCAATGCATTAAATCTCCCATGCAATAACAAAAAAATATATAATAGAAATTCTTTTTTTATCCTTATCAAATGTATACAGAGTTTTAGCGATATAAAAAAAAACAACGGGACTTTTTTTTGTCATCGAATTATTAAGGCATATAATAAAGATTTTAAGAATGGATATTGGGTATGCTATTAGAAAACTTACCGCTTCTTCCTCTCTTTCCATACCAGATACAAATGGCATTTGTGGAACACACCGTTGAATAGAAGAAGCTGGTGTTTGTAAATGTTGTAAATCGTTATTATTATTATCATGTTGATCAATTATCACACGTATACGTTTACTAGGATCTAAGTTTCTTGTACGAAATACTGGACGACTCATCGCCAGATAAGAATCTAAAAGGAGGCTCCAATAGTATATTAATTGTATTTCAGACAAAAAAAAATAAAGCATTCAGAAAATCATACAACTGGACAGAGAGAACAGAACATTGTCATACTTTTTATCGTCAAACTATCGAAAGTATGTCCTTAACTTTGTCATCATTAATCTCTTCCTTTATTTTAAATCAAAAATAAATCAAAATTATAACTGCTCTACCCATTCACATTTAGATTACGACATGAATAAAACTAAATTTTTAAAAAATTAATTATATAAATAGCTTAGGCGCCACTAAAAATTTATTACAAACAGAAAAAAACTATCAGATGGAATGCACAGAAAGGACTAGTCGTCAGTATGAGAAAGGACTGTGTTTATTAAGAATTAGTTGTCAATAATCGGACGCGTCATTTTGAGATGAATGAGCGTATTATGTGTATTCGATAAAGAGAGAGAGAGAGAATTTGACTAAATACATACACACATAAATCGTCCGATCTTTTTTTTTTCATCAATCGTTTCTGTTATATTTTGTTTTGTCTCTATTGTTATTCATCACGTTGTTGGCTGCGCCGTGGCTAACATGTAAATATATTCTTCCCCTTTCCTTAAGTATAAAACAAAATATATGGAAAAAAGAAAAAGAAATTCTTTGTCACGCAACGTCAGTGATGACTCATGTAGTGTATATTATGAATAAGACACGCGCATAAACTTTACTTTTATAAATTATGATTATTTCAAGTGTAATTGATATTGTTAAGTAACTGTGTTATTAAAAAGATAAAGATAGTTGCTATTATTATAATCTAGATGTACGATCCTGATTTTATTTGCTTTCTCTCAAGGACAATGATTATCTATCATCATGTGTTGCATTTTACGACGTGCAATTTTGTTTCAGTGTCTTTTTTTGCATGTGTTTTATCACAGATGGAGCATCATACAAAAATACTTAATGTCTATGAAGTCGATCCAACTAATCGGATTAAAATGACTTGAATTATGAATACTTAAAATAGCACCACTCAAACTATGTGTATGATCGTACACGACAGTTCTAAATATAGAAAAACTGTTGGAAAATATAAGAAAATGTTTTTGACGAACACAAAAGTGGGAAGATAATTAGAATATTTGTTTGATACATAAACTAGATGATGTTAGTTCAGCGTGGCAATAACAACACATGTTTGAAAAACTAGAATATTGACTTTCAGAAAACATTTTATACGGATGTTAATACAGGTTGTACAAAATGTTTTCTAACTCTCTTGATCGATTAAGAATGACATATTAAAAATAACTTGATTCTATCTACCATATTATATAGATTGATGTTCATCGAGCTGAAAGGAAAGTTACCGAAGGAAGAACAAAATTCTGCAAAATAATGTAAAAATATATATTCGCTGAAATAAATTTATTATTTATAAATGATTAATCATATAGTCTCATTTAGAATAGATAAAATGGAAGTGCCTATGTTCTGTATATTTTAGACTCTGAAATAAACAGTAAATAATGGTGTAAAAGAAGAAAAAAAAAAAAATCGAAAAACCATTGAAAAATATCTTCTTTGCCACGTCATACATCCTAATAGGTTGATCACAGAAAAGAAAAAAATTATGTACATACACGTTACATTCTACAATGATGCTACTAGATGATAGTATTTTTCTTGATAACAACAAAACAAGAAAAAGAGAAGAGCAATGATGCACTCATCAGCGTCATATATAGAAAAGAAACACCATTTTATTTTTCATCACTATTTATAAGGTGTCTCGAAAGAATTAGAAAGACAAGGCCATCCTTCATAACTTTTTTTATTCTATCTATTGATGTTATGCAGCTGAAAAACATGTACTCGGTTACTAAAGGTCATAGAAGATAAAATAATATAAGGATATCTAAATATTTTTAGATTCACATGTCTAGTTGTACGTAGAATATGGTAAAAAAATCAAATGTATAGTCTATATTAAAATGATAAGAAATAAGACCTGGATTGTTCTGTTCGATTAATTCAGATGAAGTGATAGGAAAATCAATCGCTCTTTTCTAATTCAAATGCAAAATTTTATTGGATATTATTGACCGAAAGGAAAAAGATCACATGTGGAAAATTCTACACATACACATCGTACTCTGTCTTCTCTTACAATTTTATTTACTGCTACGCCTTATGCAACTGTTTGCCACAAATATTCATATGAGTGGTTAAAAAAAATCGAATCCACAGTATACGACGAAAAACACTTTGAACACTCCTTCTATATTTGATATTTTTTCGCGTAATTGAACACCTTATAAGCGGAAGGTAATCAATATTTCCAAATAAATAAAATTTATAGAACAAAAAATTTATTAAACATTCTAAATATTCCAACATTTTGATTGTTTCAAGTACAGTGATACATTAATAACAACAGCACTCTTTACCTCTTAAGATTGAATGTCAATGTTGTCACTCGTTGTTATCTCATCGCCACCACACCTCAACATTTTAAATGGCAACTTTCACTTAAGTTTTTAGTGTAAAAAGAATCAAGGAGATATGTTATTATTTGATGGTTCTCACTGTAAACCGGTGAATAATAAGTCAGTTGATGAATGTCGATATCAGTCGATCATAGTGTACAACTATTAATTCATTTCATCTAGCATCTTATTGTAGTAACATTCAAGAAACAGAATGATTAATGACATCGAAAAGGTTAAAGTCCAAAAAAGAAAAGAAGTTCAAAGACAACTACAGTAAGCTCCAAAAACATCTGAAACATGTTCATCATCTAAAACTCATTCATCTGCATCCATAATAGCACTGTCAATAACACTGATAAGAATCATAGTCATTGTCATCACTGAAAATATTAACTAAAAGCTCAAATCTAACCTTATGATGATACTTCACTGGTTTATTGCTTCTTCGTTCAGAAAAAAGTTTACAGTTTATAGAATGAGTCACGACTGAAAGTGAGAAAAAAAAAACAATTGAGAATAAATGAACTAGAAAATAGAGATGATTCAATCCAACTGTAAAGAAAACTTAGAGCGTCACCCAAACGAGAACTGCGCTACTACTTTTAAATACAAGTATGTGTTACTAAGAAAACACAAGCAGTTTTACAGATCTAACATACGTGAATAAACATCATTTAATAGGCTGAATAATTAGAGACAAAATATGCTGCGCAAAAACAAGATTATCGACGTATTGAAACGAAAATCCGAGAAAGTTAAAACACTAACAAACTTAAAGTTAAAACATTAATAAAACTTAAAAATACTGAGACAGTATTTGCATTTTGCACATAAAATAATAATAAAAAACCAATAACAGTAATTTTACAAGTGACCATTGATTAGCTCACCCATTTTTACTCTTTGTAGTGTAGTATTTTGTGATTCTCAGAGAATATATAATTGTTTTAGATTAAGTAAAATTTGACTTTCAGAGTCCATTGAAGAGTAACTAAGAATGAGTTGACAAAACCGTTTTCAGATTCGTCAACATCTTGTAGACATTTCGTTTTATTCAGTCGACTCAAACATATACACATATACACATAAACCGATGTGGAAATAAGATTTCCAAAAAGTCAGCTTACAGAATTTACTCGCTGTCTGTATTCATACTTAATCGATTTTATGCACGCATTATATGTATGTATATAAGTCAATAACATGCCTGATGAAAATTCGTCGATTATATTTACTAATTAGTTAGAAAAATTAGTTGTTGTGTTAATTCCAATAGAATAAAATTAAAACGACTGTTTTCAACGGCAATAGGACTGAATAATCAGAAAAATGTTTCTTACCTAATGAAAGAAACCCTAACCTTTGGGGCATTAACGTTTTAGAATTCACATTCTATTTTATCTTCATTAAAATAATAAAAAAAAGACCTATTTTTCTTACAGCCTAAAATAGATACACTGATGTACACTTTTCTATCACTACTATATCCTTTGATATACTTTATGAGACACAAATAAAAATTTTATGACGGTTTTACACTCAGACAGGTGCTTATATTTCAAAAAAATCGTCAAGGAAAGAATTGCTTCGCACAATGATGTAAACACATGTAGATTAATACAGAAACATGCAAGAGTTATACCACACTGATACCCAATAGTACATAGTAACCTTAATCAAGATAGTTTGAGTTGAAAGAACTATCTCTCTCTGTATATATACAGATATATGTACCTTGAAAGAACTATTCAGTATGTTTATTAGAAAATGTTAAATTTGCCTTTAATTATAGAAGAAAAAGGAAAAATCTAATATTCACTCAACTTTATGGCATATGGTTTTTCTTTGTATATTTTGGCTATTAAAAATTCAAGAGAACTTGAAAAAAAAAAGTCATTGATGGACGCAATACGTTTAGAGATTGTATATAGAAGAGAAGAATATATATAATGTCATTAGAAAATGTGGTGTATGTGTATATACGTGCTAAAGAAAACTTTATTACTAGTATTCTATATACTTTAAAACCCACATTGATGAACAAAATTAAGTGTAACAAGAAAATTGACTTCTATTCTTCTAGTGCTGTAACAATTAACATCAGATGTTTTTAGTCTTTATTTTGTTCTAATAAGAGACTATAGAATGTGACATAAAATTCAATTTTTAATCTTTGAAAACGTATTTTCTCCCAAAAAACTTGTTAAAAAAGGATCTAACTAATATTCATTACTATAAAATAAATTTAATATGGAATTTTCATATTTACTCAATTGTCATACAAATATTTCGTTTTATTTTCTATTTACATCCACACTCTAGATTCATCTGTACAAATACATACAGAAATATGGTAAAAATAAACACATCAATAGTTAAATTTGCTAATTTCAAACATACTTGTGAAAAAGAAAATAATTTGCTAATACCACAGTGCCGCTTTAAAGCAACATGACACACTCAGAAAATAAAAGAAAATTTTATTTACTTCGAAACACAGGAGAAAATTA